CACGCAAAGATGCACTGCCCGAAACCCAGCCTGAAACGATCACTCTTCATCCCACTCCTGTTCCTAGGTAAAAACAACCAGATAAAAGAATCTGCACAGAAATGAAATCGTACTTGCCCCTGCCTGGCAAGTTCCCTCTGGCCTATGCCATGAAATCATGAGAAGGACTGAAATAATCTGACAGAAAAAGACAGATGCCTGTAGGAGATAATATTAACATATCATGTTTTTAATCACCCTTGCGGGTGGCTGAAAGACCTTCTGAGTAATATAGGGACCTCCTACGTAATTGTGAAAGTTTTTCTTTTTTTAAGGTGGGCCATTACAACAAAGCAGATGTGTCAATTTAAATTAAAAGGTCACCCTGACACATGAGTATGTGCCATTAAGTGAAATTTTTCATCATTCTACTTAAAAGAAAAAAAAAAACTATTCAAGTGTTTTAACTTTACCAAGAAAGTAAAGACAGCTTTCAGACCAGGGGTCCTCAAACTTTTTAAACAGGGGGCCAGTTCACTGTCCCTCAGACCATTGGAGGGCGGGACTGCGGGCCCCGGGATGAGTTGGCTGCTAAGCAGGACAGGCAGCAGTGGCAAAAACACCTGGCGGACCAGATAAATGTCCTAGGTGGGCCGAATGTGGACCACAGGCCATAGTTTGAGGATGCCTATTTCAGACAGTAACGCAAATCCTTCAGCAGTGAATCAGGGAAGAAGCAAGGACACGTCCATCTGGGACTGAGAGTTAGGAGACCCGTTCTTTCTCCCCAGCTCCTCTTAGCTCTCTGGGTAACCTTGGGGAAGACAAGCTAAGCCTTGGCTTCTAGAAATTGCAGTGCCTTTTGAAGTGTTTGATGAAATACTTCATATAAAATAATTTAGTTAGTGTACCCTGCCCCCCCTACACACACAAACTTTCACTCCTGACCACAATCAGTGGACAGACAGAATATGCTACTGGTTTTCTGTCCATCCCTGGCCTGTCTGTCACAAAGGCTGTCGAGTGGATGAGCAGATGCTAGAAGCCATTTCGGGCCACAAAGAGGAAGGGAAGCGCCTGCCTGGGGAGAGCTGCCCAGCTGTAAGAGAACTTGCATCACTTGTTGTCTACTGAAGTGCGAACCTGAATGAGCACCAGATGTTCCGCCATCTAGTCCAGGCCGGGAAAAAATGTGCAGAAGGGGAAAACTGTTTTCCCTAAAGGAAGCCGGCTGGACAGCAAAGCAGAGCTCAGGTGTCCTGGAATTTAAGTCCTCGATTTCTCCCAGTGCTGACTGGGTAGCAGTGGTAGGCTCATCACCTGATCTGCAATCTCTTTACATGGGTTTATTCTGAACAGGGTTGATGTGAAATTGTTTACTAAAACCGTCTCCTTTTCTTCATTGTTGGCGTGTCTTAAACTTATAGACAAGCAGCGGTTCTTACAGATCTTCAACAAAATTAACACAAATGAACAATAACTAGGAAGAAGGTACCTTCTCTTAAAGCCCGTGGATTAGCGGAATGAAGAAGGGCTTCGGAAGGTGCTAAGTACAACTATGACACGTGTGGCCCACACTTTTCATCTGGACCAGAGAAATAGAAATTCCTTGTGATCTGGGACCAAGCGAGATATTTCATAATTACAACTGTAAATCTGAGACCCTTCCCAAGTTCTCTTTACTCTAACAAATAAGAAATAACAGCAGCAATGTTAACATAATGTCCAAGATTTTATCAGTGTCAGACACTGAACAAAACATTTCATATATAATCTCATTTATATTTTGTTTGTTTCTGAGATAAGGGCCTTGATCTGTGACTTGGGCTGGGTGCAGTGGTGTGATCCTAGCTCACTACAGCATCACATACCTGGGTTCAAACAATCCTCCCACCTCAGCCTCTTGAGTAACAGGACTACAGGCCCACATGACCATGCCTGCCTGGCTATTTATTTTATTCATTCATTCATTCATTTACTTATTTTTAAGAGACAGGTTTTCAATATTTTGCCCAGGCTAGTATTGAACTCCTAAGCTCAAGTGATCCTCCCACGTCAGCCTCCTGAACAGTTGGGAGCATAGGCATGAGCCATTTCGTCTGGCTGTAATCCAATTTAATGAAGATAAGAACCCTACGGTGTGAGGTGAGGGCTTATATTATTCTCTTATTACATAATATTAATTCTCATAATATTCTCTTATTACAAATGAGAAAAATCAGGCTTAGAGAAATCAGATTCGTCTAAGGTTACTACCTAGATTCAAATCAGGGTAGGCAAAAGCCTTTGCTCATAACCTTTCCATTACTGGCCTAATGTGGTAACACATAGCTATGGAGCCCCTGAACTGTAGCTAAGTGTGACTGGGAAAATGAATTTTAAATTCCAGTTAATTTAGATAACCATGCATAGCTGTTGTTACGGTATTAAACAGTCCAGTTCTGCAGCCTGAGGGCTAAATGTGCATATGACCTTATGATCAAAGCCATTAGTCTTACTATCACAAATAACCTCCATTAGAGGAGAATGACAATGAGTATCAGTATGAAGGGAGCCAGGTTAGCGTAATAGCTGTACAGCAAGCCCTATCTGGGTCTGAGTCTCAGTTCTGCCACTACCCAGCCATGGGATTTGCAACTTACCCTCTCTAAGTCTCTAAGAAGAGATAAATATGCCATTATCATCATTGTCATAGGGTTATTGTGAGAATTAAATGAGATGAAATATTATTGGAGCATTTAGTGTAATACCTGGAATGTACTAAGGCTAAATAAATGTGCTAATAATGATAACAACTAAATAATTATTGATGCTTGGCCTTTTAAATGTAAAGGTAATAAGAGTTTCAATTCTCAGAAAAGGCTGTAACTTATTAGTAACCCCACCTTGTAAAATGTACCTTTTGTGATTTAAAATGTTTTATTTTGAAATTATTTCAAATGTGCAGCAAATTTGGCAGTTCAAAGGACTCTAGTGTACTCTTTAGCTATACAGATCAGTTGTTTTTGTTTTGTTTTTGAGACAGAGTTTCACTATGTCACCCTCGGTAGAGTGCTGTAGCACCATAGCTCACAGCAACCTCAAACTCCTGGGCTTAAGTGATTCTCTTGCCTCAGCCTCCCAAGTAGCTGGGGACTACAGGTGTACCCCACACACACACACACACCACTAATCTATTTTTTGTTGTTGCAGTTGTCATTGCTGTTTAGCAAGCCCAGGTCAGGTTTGAACCCGCCACCCTCGGTGCATGTGGTGGGCACCATAACCACTGTGCTATGGACCCCGAGCCTACAGATCAATTTTTAACATCTTACCACATTTGCTTATTATTCTCTCTATGCATTGTATTTTTTCCTGAATTATTTGATACCTTAACTCTTTACATTTAAGTATATTTAATGTATTTCCTAAGATGAAGGACGTTCATTTAGATAACTACAGTATAATTATCAAAGTCAAGAAATAGAACTTTGGTATAATCCTTAACCTAAGATTTCATCCTCTGTCCCCATAATATCCTTTGTGGTAACTCCCCCCCACCCCCTACCAAACGGGAGCCAAGAGAGGAGCACACGTGTCTTTCGGTCTCCTTTAATCAGGAATGATCCCCAGCCCTTCTTTGTCTTCCATGAACTGACATTTTTGAAGAGTACAGGCTGGTTATTCTATAGAATGTCACTCAATCTAATTTTGGTTTTGTCCAGTGTGTCCTTATGATTCAGGTGACATGCATTTCTGGCTGGAATACCACATAAACAATGTTGTTTCTCACTTACAGGCATGAAACCTACACCTACCCCATACTGGTACCATGAATTTGATCACTTGGGTATTGCTGGGTATCTTCCCTATGTATAGTAACTATTCTTCTCTGCTCATTAATAAGTTGTGGAAAAGCTATTTTGAGAATATCTGAATATACTGTTCTTCACATTCCTTCTACCTCTGCTAGACTGAGCACCTATTGACAATTCTTGCCTGATCAACTTTTGCTATGATGGTTTCAAAATGATTTCCTAACTCTGTTGTTCCTTCTGTATCAATTGACATTCTACTATGAAAAGGTAATCTCTCCTTTTCCTTTTTTCACTCATTTGTTTAACTCCTTATTGACTGTAATGATTACAGACTCTTACTTTATCCAACAGGTACGTCTGAGTTTTTAAACCTACTCTAAAATACAGGTGACAAGAAGCTACAGATCTGGATTAAGAGTCACTAAGTAGGCAAAGTTTATTCATCAGGCAAAAGGAAAAGTATAAACTGAGGATGCGATGGGCAAGAGAGGCTTAAAAGCCTCAGGCTCTGCAGTCAGGAGGACACGGTTAGCGTGTAGCTCTTGCAATAGACGATGTGAGTTATCACTACCAAGTTGCAGCGTTGCTCATCATCAGACATGATATCATACCAAAAATATTCCATCCAAACAACCCATCTATTTCTCCACAACTAGCAAACTTGAATGTTCTGGCAAACTCAAAAGGACATGATTTACAAATAGTAGGTAATATTTGGATCTTTCCACAAGAGCTGGGCTCCAGCTTTTTTAAAAATAAAATACAAATGATTTCATTTTGGAGTTCACTGTGTCACTTTCTCAACACACAGAGCCTCATATCAGAAACGAGGCCTGTGTTATATACACACAGAATGGGCTTGTGCGAAGTTATTTTGTGGTCAGAGACCACACACTTGGTTGCTGTTTACAATATTTACAGTGCTCCTGATGCCACAGCCTCAGAGCTCAAACGAAAGCTCAGGCCACAGGAGTATGACTACAGGCCCTGCTCTCATCTGCAAGCGAGACCCGACTCTCCATCCACAGAGGAAGACGTGTGTGTGGTGTTTGTGTTCTGTGGATGCTTATCAACGCCACCCAAATATGACCATGTGCACACTCCAAATGTAACTCTCTTTGGATTCGGGTATTGTTTTGATGAAAGCAAGCCTTTCCTTGCAAAGTTTCAGGGCCATTCTGTCTTTTTGCTAAAGATCATTTTGGGAGGGCTTGAAATGCTTACCAAGAAAAGTCTGGAGACTCCAGCAGCAAGTCTCTCTGTCTTCAGACGCCAGACCAGTGGCTGTGGGGAGTTGAGTAGGAACACGACAGGCTTGTGGTGAATGTGCACGGAGGAAATGGGATTCAGGTGCAGCGTGACCTGGGATGCAACATAAAAGTGAGAGAAATCTTAGCACGGGCTTTCCGTGAAAATCGCTCAGACAAGCGCCTAGAATACTTTTTCCCAACTTATAGAAACAAGCAATAAGCTAGTTCTGATTCTATGAAGAAGATACATTAGGATGATTTTGCCAATATTTGACCCTATTCTACAAAACGGCTATTTCGTATGGTTCAAACTACACGAATCTCAACCAAAACATGATCTGGCTCCCAGTAAAAGAACATAAATAAACAGAACACATTTTTACACCCCCAAATTTGCCAAGCATGAGATAAAAGTACCTTCCCTTAGGACTCTTTTTTCCCTGAGTTAAATGACTAACCTCAAAATTGAAGAACAGAATCCCCGGGGGTGGGGGTCATCCCTCTGGATCTCCAGAGAAATAACTTCCTTCTCCTCCAGGTAAGCCCTAACCTCTATAAAGTTGAGTTGAGTTCTGCCAAAGAAAGGTGCCAAAAGCTAAGAGCCAGGAGCCGCCAGGGCAGCTGCCAGTGCTTTCATCATCCCAGCTATTAGCGGGAAGGGCTTTTCCAAAGAAATGAAGCACGGAGAACACACAGAATAAAAACTGGCTGTACATAGCCCCGGGGAGGAGGGAAACAGGGAAGAACACTGTGAGCCGGGTAGGAAAATTGTGGCCACTTTCGACAGTGGATCAAGGGTGCATTGTCGTCATTAGCGTCACCAGAAGGCTCCTATGAGCAGACAGAAAAAGTAGACTCAGGAGCATCTTCTGGGAGCACACGAGCCAAGGCTGGTCAACGTGAACAGAGCAGAGCAAAAGGATACACAAGGAAATACTGCCGAGATGCTTTCACATCAACCCGTCTCACACTGGCTCTCTGTACAGAGGGGTGAGGCAAGCCCCAAGAATCGCATATTTAAGCAGGGTGAACTTGCCAAAGATCACCGTAAAGTAATAAGGGAGAAAAAAAAAGACAAAAAAGGCCTTAGGCTAGAAAGATACAGACCGAGTGATACACTGAGAATAACTATCTCAGCCCTAATCCATATAAGGACTAAATGGTCTCACTGTGTGATCAGAGCCTACACATGCATCAGGGAGACAGAGCTAAATACTGGAGGCTTTATTTTTCCCCGTGTCTACGGGTTCACTTTGGTCTCAACATATTTCTGCCTTTTCTTGCAGAGAGACTGCCTATGCCCCATGTCACTATTACAGTATACTCTCAGGTCATGGATAAACAAGATGCTAAACGTTAGTTACCTTCCCAATCCATGTTTTAGCACATGGGAGGCATTCAGTAGGTGCTAAAAGAATGCCTTCATTCTCTGCTTTTCAATGCCATGGAAGTACTTTATTCTATGAATAATCCCTACTTTACTATCTAATACCATCTTGTTATTACCTGTTGAGCATGCATATCCTATTTTTAAAATAGACTGTAGGCAAAAATGTGTCTTTTTAATACTATGCTAAACATTGTGCACATGAATAAATATTGACTGATTTATCACAGCAAAGTCATAAATTATGTTAACCTAAAATTAAAAAAAAAAAAGGGCTGGATCTTATGCAGGTTAGACAGATGTTCGTAGTAGCTTTGACTTTCCCAGTCATCGTGTGTTTTATCAAGGACCTAGTAGACTTTCATAGCACTGTGTTGGGAAGTCTGGGTAGAGAACAGAGAGTAGAGGCATCTAGTGTAGAGAACACTGTGTGGAGACATACTGCTAAGAATTAGGATATATTTAGGATGGGGGTGGGTGTGAGGAGTGAAGATGCCACGTGACCAGATCAGAGAGGTATTTTGGGGAAGAAGATGGCACGGACTGTTAAAGGCATCTGAGCTTGGCCTAATCAGAAACTGTTATTAAAATGTACCCTTTCATAACCTCCAATGTTGACTTGTGAACTTTTTCTAATGATTTTCTTTGCAGCCCCATCACATACAATTCTTTTTAGAGCTCATGGATATGCAAAAGTTTTGGTTAAAACATGTATTGCAAAATACTATTAAGTATATATCTCACATGAATAAGAAATGGTTTTAAAGTTCATGAAATAAGAAAAAGATATATGAGACAGATATGGGTGCTCAGGTCCAAAATTTTCCAGATGGTCAGAAGTGTCAAGGGCTGGCTCAAACAATCAAGGAATGATTTCTAGGAGCCCCAGCTCAGAGCTTTCCTGGAAACGGCTCCCTCCTCAATATGGGACAGTGTCTGGCCAACATGAACCTCCCGACTCTGGCACATGGGGTCCAGGCAAAGCCCCAAAAGCTATTTGGCAAAAAGGAATTCATACTACGATTGGGAAATTAAAAGAAAAGCACCAAATACTTTTTCAAAAAGATCATTTGGCAGGGACATAGAGTCCTATGAGCACTGCTCACCTAACCCCTCAGCCACCTTCCTCTTCTCTACTTCTCCACTGGAACAAATCTTGCAGCAGGGAAGATAATGACTGAACCAACCAACAAAGAATGAAGGTATATAGAATCTCCCAGAAACGTGCGGAGAATATACCCACAATATCTCAAGGAACTCCTAGCTAAAGGGCCTTATTATGCTTCACGAATTTGCATGTCATCCTTGTGCAGGGGCCATGCTAATCTTCTCTGAATCGTTCCAATTTTAGTATATGTGCTGCAGAAGCGAGCACAGAGCTTTTGAGAATTTAATGCATGTCTAATCCTCTCTTCTCTTTCTGTCACACACACACATGCATGCATATACAAAACCCATCTCACATAAAACTTTACTGTGCTGGAAATACATCCATTGCAGGACCCATGAACTCCAGGGTTTAAGGGTTAAGGAACCCATTGTAAAAGAATTGGAAGAAATGGAAACAAAAATTGCTCCATTTTCAGCTCGCCTCCCATAACTCAGTGAGTAGGGCACCGGCCACATACACTGAGACTGGCAGGTTCGAGCCTGGCCCGGGCCTGCTAAACAACAATGACAACTACAACCAAAATATAGCCAAGTGTTGTGGCAGGCACTTGTAGTCTCAGCTACTCAGGAGGCTGAGGCAAGAGAATCGCTTAAGCTCAAGAGTTTGAGGTTGCTGTGAGCTGTGATGACACAGCACTCTACTAAGGGCGACATAGTGAAACTGTGTCAAAAAAAAAATTGCTCCATTTAATTAAACTAGAAATTATACCTCTGTTATTAAAATGTGGTGTCATCCTTTCAGGGGAAGAACTTAATAGATGATGACTCAGAACTAAAAACTTTCACCTGCAATTCCTGGGGTGTCAGTGACCTTTTGAAACCCACGCTTTGAACACACGCTGGTCCAGGAAGCGTGGCTGAAGGCTCCTGCTCTGCTCATACTTGTCTCAAACTGTAGTGGAGTTTGAAGTGTCTGAGGAATCCCTACAGCTGACATTTTATTAGTTATTGCTTGTCTTTCACTATTTGGGAATATTCTTAAGAGGCTGGATTTAGAGCTTTTTAAAATTCCCCTTTTTAAAAAATGTTTACATTTCTCTGAATTCATGAAGGTATGTCAATTAGTTGGTATGGTATTGAATTCAAGAAATCTCAACCCCTTAGTGTCTCTACCCTGACTTTGGGCCGTCAACTGAACATTCTCCTTGGTCAAGAAAAGCATCAAGGTCAAAGACTTCACACTGCTGTGGCCAATGATATCAAGCTCTTTCCCAATGGTTTTTATCTTGACACTACTTACTGTGCTGAGAAGGACACAGTCAATTTCAAAACTGAGTCCCCCTTCCCCCAACAAGAACATGAGTGAGGATTCCCTGGGAACCTCTGAACATAATCTAATATAACTGTAAGAGATGGGGGGAAAAAAACCTAAAATCGAAAATTCAATGCAGAAATAAGTTTGTCCTCTCTACTCCATATTTTGAATGCCCTGGAAAAATCTGTGAACTAAATTTGGGTTGGGGTTTGAGGGGCAAGAGCTCATATAAACAGAAGAGTATTTATGAAACTGCAGGTCATGACCTCCTAAAGGGGTCCTGGGAGCGCTGCAAGGGGATTCCAGAGACCCTGGCCCGCCCTTCCCAGAGTAGCCCATGGCTCCATGCTGTGCGGCAAAGACACAGGGAACCTCAGACTTGGATGTGGGGACCTGGGGCCTCCCGCAGGCTGTGGCTGATGGCAAGTCTGAGGACACGGCCAGTATTACAGCATGACTATACACGCCACTAACACAACACAGCCTTCCAGGATTCTCGCCTGAAGCACACCAGTGTTCCAAGGACACAGGCTTCTGTAGGCTGTGCAATCTCCAGCTGAATCTTTCCCCATCCCTCAGGCAGAGCCAGAGCTCAGCTCTGCCCTCACAGACAGTCCTGGTGTTTCTACCCACAGGGCACCATAATAATCTGTTCAGAACTGTTTGTTTCCTCTGTCACGGGATGAAATCCTTGGGGCATTCTCCAAGGGCAGAAACGGAACCCCATTCACAACTGCACCCTTGGGCCTACACCGGGGTGGACTCTAGTAACCAGGCAACAAGTTTTCTCAAAGAATGAGTAAAAGGAAGAATCAATAAAAATGATTAATGAAATGCCACTCAGAAAATGGGTACACAGCCATGCTGCCCTGGCTTTCTGGCCAAAAGCTGAGGTGGGGGTGGGAAGCTAGGGTGAACATTATAGTAAATAGAACATTAGCTTCACTAGAAAGGCCAATTTGAACTTCAACATACAATCCAAAAAAGCAAGCAGATTCCAACTACCAAAATGGATGGGTAACAAAGACAAAAAATGTTGACCAAAGGTGCCACTATCTTTTAGAGACATAGAATTTTAAATGTTTTTTTTTTTTTTCAGGCAATGAAGTGTGTTAGAACAATTAGAAATTAAAATTCTAAGTAAACTAAAGGAATTCAATATTTGCATGTTCATTAAATGGGGGGGGGAAGGGAGTTTGTTTTTATCTTTTTTTATATTCCCTGTCGCATTTAATAAATAGGCCCATTTCAATCGCTTTAATTTCTAACACTAATACATAACCAAAGCCCCATATAACTA